TCATATTTCACACGTGTATTCCTTGTGACAAGACCTTTCTTTGAGTATCACCAAATTTGACCTTGACCTTGAAGTTTGACTCACTTATACACAAAAAATCCAAACTTATTCTTTATCCAAATCTTTTGAACAGTAAATACCAGGACATGTATACTTCACATATATATTTTTTGTTGAAAGAACTTTCATTGAAAACCAACAACTATGAAATTTTGACCTTGACCTTAATTGGAGATTTCCATCCTTGTGAAAAAAAACTTTAACCTTGACCATAACGTTTGAACGGTAAGGAATAGTGCTTTCATACTTACATATATGTAATCATTTTGAGAAGACCATTCATAGGATACCAAGAACTTTGACCCTTTGACCTTGACCTTGGAGTTTGACCCACTTTTAAAAAGCAAACCTTGACTGTAACTTTAAAAGGATTAGGGTTAGTGCATTCATACTTTACATAGTTCATCCTTGTGACAACACCTTTCTTTGGGTACCACCAAATCTGTCCCTTTGTCTTTGACCTTGGCGTTTGACCTACATTTCAAAATTGGTAACCTTGACCATAACTTCTGAAGGGTTAAGGCAAGTGTTTCCATATTTCACATATGTATTTTTTTTGGCAAGACCTTTCATTAGATACCTATAACCTTGACCTTTTGACCTTGGAGATATCAAGAAATCCCAATAATTTGAATTTGTATATAAGAAAAGTTTAACCTTTGAAATGTTGCCATACAGGGGCATAAGTGTTTCACAAACACATCTTGTTTGAATTGTATTTAATTGATTTACTTAAAACAAAAATTTATTTACTAAATCTAGGAGAATTCAGATCAGTAATTACTTAAATATGGTAGTCTAATCACTTATTGTCTGTGAGGAGGAGTTATCTTTCTTCTAAATATTCCTTCATGTGAAAAAAAAGTCACACTAATAAAAATGCGATATTAAGTACTTGAAATGTTTAACCATTTTTAAAATGGTCCTTAAAAAGATACAACTTATTCAATTTTTAAGGCTTTCGAAGTTGGAATCAAATGTTTTATTGTTATATATAATAAAACAATTACAAAGAAATTGGCAAAAGAAATAGAAAGTATACTTGTTTCCATCATGAGTAGATTTCTTCTATTAAACTATTCAGAGGGCCCAATTAGGGAACTCTGATAAAGAAATCTGTGAGTAGTACTCACATGTCAGAGGGTCGGTACCTTGCATTGTTTCTGGTAAATAATGTCGATTTTAGTAAATATGATAAGTATTTCATTTACTTAGTATTCTTTTGAGTAATAATATTCTAGATTTTAATTAATTTCAGAATTACATTTACTTAGTAATAATTCATAAAATTTAGTAAATAGAAAGCATATTATCTCTAAATTAAGTAATAATAATTTAACAAAAATGAGTAGTTCATTTACTAACTTTAAGTTATACAATGCCTATAATTTAAGTAATTCTATTGATACTTAGTAAATCATTTTATAAGTAAATGAATTCATCCTTATTACTAATTATGTTTACAATTACTAACCATGATAGTCATTTACTTGCTATTCTGACTAAATGGATTACTAATAATTACTAGTTTTTTTTAATCTAATATCTTATTTTAAAAACAACAAGTAAAACTTTTTTTAGAGTGCGGGTGAAGATATCATGTTTTTCTTTTGAAATGATTAATTGCCAAATTATCGACGTATCAAGATGAAGCCATCAATACTTCTTTACCTTTCCTTGTTTTATGAATCTCATAAATTTAATGAGTACAGCATACATAGTATCAATTTTATCGCATCAAAGTCTACCAATTATTTACACACCTTCTCGTTAATATCAAGGACAGAGTGAACTTTAAGTGACACTTTAAATATGCATGGACCTGGAAAATCGTCCGTTGCGTTTTTCACGATTGACGAAATTCTTTCCTTTCTTTTTTTTTAAATAAAAAATTGTGTTATTCCTAAGGAGTTTTTTTTTCAAAGCCAAGAGCGTTCTTATGACAGGAAAGAATAATCATATTTTTAATCCAGACATTCCGTAGATAAATCTTTAAATAATTTGGGAAATAAATAAATTTTCATGTAAAACACATTAAGACGCTACTCTGAAAGGTCCCAAATATGAAAAGAAAGTCATCAATCGTGTTAAACACAACGGATTGCGGTTTAATGTTCTATTTACATACACATTTACAGTGTCATTAAAAGTTCACTTTGTCCTTGATATTAAGGACAAGTTATGAAAATTGTTTGTAGACTCTGGTGCGATTGAAATAATGCTATGTAAAACACCAAGACGATAATCAGAGTAAAAGCAATATATGCACATAATCAGTTGCATGGATATCTTTCAAAATATTTCCTTAGCATATACATATACGTTTATTCATATACTTTAAATACATGCATCCCTTCGGTTGTTGTTATTTTCATTAAAAGGAAATCACTTAACACTAATCAATTTTTTCTACCAGAGGATGAAATGGAGCGTGAGGAGCCCACACCTCTTCTGAAATCTAAAAAAAACTGTTCCTTGTTTATAAATGTATAAAGAAAACTGGCTGACGTTTAATTCTAATGATACTGAAAAAACACATACTTGCGTGGGGTGTTTTCGAGGTTTGAGGAAAACATATTGGTTTGTGGGGATTTGATTTCGTGGTTGGAGAACGTTTAGTAAGTAATGCATTTGACATTTTACATTTCGTGGTGGTCATAATTTCGTTGGTCTCTCAATACCTCGAAAACAACGAAAATTAAACCGGAATGAAAATTAGTGATTTCACAGGATATGGAAATAAAGAACAGTATCAAACTCAAATGTACATAGAAACAATAAAAATCAGGGGCCGAGAAAATCTGGATCTCTAAAACATGTGTTAGGATCTGGGGTCATGGAGGAGTAAGCATCCCCCTGCAAACAGGTCACAACCGCCGTTTTATGCATTTTTAAATATGTTGAAATACATGTTTTTACAATATGTAAGAAAGGGTAATTTTGCACAAAAAAATCTTTAATTGGATATGGCTTAACGTTCAACTCTAGGAGGAAAAAAGTTACACCATGAATTAATATGGGGATATAATTATTGTAATGAGACAAGAAAAGTAATAGTATTGAATTTCTTATTATAATTAATAAGGAAAATAATGTTTCAATATTTAGATTGAGCCAGAATGTTCTTATAACAATTCAGCAATTGATCTTTGCTATAGAGAAATTTAAATAATAATTAAAAATGCTTTCGTTTGGTTTTTAAGTGCGGGAATTAATGTCGCAGCTGTTGCAGAAAAAACGCGGGTTATATAATTGTTTCTGCAAAAGCTGCGATCTTAATTCCCGTACCGACAAAGAAAGACATTTTCATGTTTATATTTACATCTGTTTAAAAAAACATTCGAAGTAAAAATATGTTGAAAATTGTATAAAAGATGATTATGTCATTAAGCATAACCGCATTACTGATGGAACAACCATTATGGAAGAAATCTATGCAAGTGGCGTGCTTAGTGTCGTTTATGCACTGATTACATGTAATGGCAATGGTCTTCATAAGAAAAAAAGGGAAAATATTCAGTGGATGTAAATGTAATATATCCATTAACTTAATTACACAAACATTGTTTTAATCCAGAGAAGTTAAAAGACATTACAAAGTACAAACCGAAGATCATGGGGTTAGCTTTCTTCCTATAGAAGCCAAACGTAGCTTCAAAAAGTGTAAGTGTTGATTTAATTCATGAATTATTTATGTATCATTTATGTTTTTTAAATATTGTGAATTAAAATATACTCGTATAATTGATACAGTTTATGTGTATAGCAAAGGACAATAACCTCTTATCATGAAACTTGTGTACAAAATCTGGGAGATTCGATACAATAAGAAGAGCATTTCCTTTTGACGGAAACCTAGGTTTTATTATGTGTTTTTTCTCTACCAGTGACATTTCCAATGCAAATACAAAGAGTTTTGACTTTGGAGGCACCTTTGTTACCTTTAACCTGAGTGCACTGGAAAGTCAATGGCCTTGATTTTACAGGTAGAATTTTATCAAAAATGCAGTTGACAATATGAAATTTCAGTTATCATTATTCTATATGAGGGGGTCCAAGAAAATTTAAAGACTATGTGATATTTCTTTTAAAATACTTTATGAACAAAATTGCATTGAAAAGGTTTGTTACAAGACAAATTAAACTTCAAGGTTAGGCAGAATAACACCGAAAACACTGGACTCTGCAAAACATATATGCAAACTATACAAAGCTTCAACAAAACCTGTATAAATCCAAAATCCGGTAAGCAAACCCATTTACGAATAGTATTCAACCATTATAGACCAAAACGTCTTCAAATTAACACTTGAGAAAATTTCTCCTCTTATACCCTTGAGTGAAATTTGACGAAACGTTCACAGAATCTTTATTACATATTGTCATTGTGACCTCCAATTTTACTTTTTGATCCGACACATATTTTGGGTTTCCCACAGCAAAACATGGACACTCCCATTATATTCATATGGGAGGCGGGGGTACCATTTATTGAGCTCATTGCTCACAGTACCTCTAGTTTAAGTTCTATTTCTTAACAATATTTATCATTACACCTTTTAAAAATCATTCTTACAAAAAACTTTGTTCTATTGGGAATGAATTTAAATTAATAACAGTTTTTGCAAAAACTTTTGACATAACAGGAGGATTGAAATACCTTAAGTGCGGGAATTAATGTCGCAGCTGTTGCAGAAAAAACGCAGATTATGTAATTGTTTCTGCAAAAGCTGCGATCTTAATTCCCGTACCGACAAAGAAAGACATTTTCATGTTTATATTTACATCTGTTTAAAAAAACATTCGAAGTAAAATTAAATATGTTGAAAATTGTATAAAAGATGAATATGTCATTATGCATAACCGCATTACTGATGGAACAGCCATTGTGCAAGAAATCTATGCACGTGGCGTGCTTAGTGTCCTTTATGGTCGGCTTTAAAAATAGCGCGGGAAGTTGCAGACAACACAGGTACATTGATGGCAGGAAACATCTGTAACTCCACCATTTACAAAAAAGGAGATGAAAAGACAACACAGGATACTAGAGAAATGTTTAAGGTTAGAGAAACAATATTTCAAGTAGAAAAATGGTCAAAATCTTTTCATCTAAAACTGATTAATCTTTTCTATTGGAATAATAAGATAAATATCAAAGTAATAAAAACACTGAAATCCGCTTATCACGCTTCCATGTGGGATTTTACATCAATATTTTAAGTTCGCGATCAAAGGCAAGTAAGTGTAAATTCTCTAAATATAGTAAGCAGTTAGGCCCAAAACCATTTTTATTCTTTCTTTGTATCACGGTCTAGAGTAATTTTAACATGTAAATTAGGTTACAAACTAACCGGATTCTTGAACTGAATTAGGTCGAGATCCAAACCAGAGCCCCAGTCCTCATTTCTTTTTCTAATCCCTCGCGAAGTAATTGTTTTGAGGCTAGATTATTTGTCCATCGCAAAATTCATTCGCTTATAATGCCTTTACATTCAATATTTACCTTTCTAGGCAGGAACAAATAGAATGGGCGGTGGAAGGACATGGAGATTTCATCGTTGCTGAGACATTTGGTGAATTTGGAGAAGCTATGCTTGCTTTGAAATGCATCAAACAATATGGAAAAGGTACATATTTTAATCTTTTTAGTGACCAGGTGCAGTCGAATACACCAGAGACATCTAGTAAATAGAACAATTTGCAAGTACATGATGCTAAAGACTACACCATTTTATGTAAAGACTTTATCATGGTATGTAAGGCCTCTTTCTGACACCTCTGCAATTCATTTCTAACAAAATTCAATTTATGTTATTATTAACTGTATCAGTCAGATTAAAATCATATTATTTGATCCGCTCGTGTAGGGATCTATGGAAACGGATCAAAGGATCTGATTTTAATAGGATTGTGTCCTTTTTTTTGCAGTCTGTGACTTTAATTACATTACACCTTAACGTTTGAGCATTACAATTTCTGATAATTTTATTTCGAAGGAATGTTTGTCCTCACAGATTTCTTAGATGCTGTTTTTTAGACCTGATGAATGTTGATTCTAACATTATGAAAAGTGAACAAGACGACATATTTTGAACTGTTTGATTTCGCAGGATTACCTTCTGTGATCACGTTGTCGGTCCCTCTGACGACAGTAATGATTGACGGGATACCTGTGGACGAGGCCTGTAGACGATTGGAGGAGGCCGGTGCTGGCGTAGTGGGTTTTAATTGTGGGCGGGGTCCAGAAACAATGATTGAGCCGCTGACACTTATTCAAAAGGCTTGTAAAGTAAGAATTTTATTTCCATTTTCAATTAATCATACACTTACATTATATATACTGGCTGACTAGCATCCATTACATTATAAGTATAATCGTCTTCTAATTCAGAGGTTTAATATTTCTGAAGTAAGGTTATTCTGTTTAGTATCCCCATAGGTAAAGCCTGTCTAAATTATCAAAGATTTATCATTGAATTACTCAATACATGTATATGTTAGTATTTCCCTAATTTGCAGGGACCAATCGCAGCGTTGCCTGTTTCTTACAGAACCAATCAGAATCAAGTGACGTTCTTCTCTTTGACAGTGCCAGGAACAGGTGAACCGTTAAAGATAAATATGCCGTGTTAAACAGTATTTTTGCACAGCTGAAACCGAACAAAAATTTCTGAAGTATGGTAAGGGACAACCACATCAGTAACATCACATCAAAAGCCAACAAGACACTAGGCTTCATCAGGAGGAATATGAGGGGATGCCGGACATCTGCAAGATCCGCAGCATACCAGGGATTAGTACGACCGATTCTAGAATACGCCTGTGCAGCATGGGATCCCTGGAACTCCAAGCAAGTCCACCAGCTGGAGAAAGTGCAAAGACGAGCAGCACGATTTGCCACCAAAAACTACCATGATAACCACCCTGGGAGTGTTACCCAGATGCTACAAGAACTACACTGGGAACCATTACAAACAAGAAGAATGAAGATAAGACTCGTTTTGTTATACAAGATTGAGCATGCTTTGGTGGCCATCCCTGCAGATATGTACCTGACACCCAGTGACAGAAGGAGTAGAGGCAGCTACACGTTCCGTCTACCACACACCCGGATCGATGCACATCGATATTCCTTTTTTCCGAGGACAATTCTAGACTGGAACAACTTACCATCTGTAGTTGCCTCAGCACCAACGTTAGAGTCCTTCTGGACACAGCTGGACTCATAAACAAGGAGCCAGCTGCCCACCAACACCAACTAAGTGTGCCATTTTTTAACTTTTTATTGTACATAGTGCCCTGATTGGGTTTTTAGCCTTGTCCGTCGCGTGTGACAGTCCGAGTTCAACGCTCTAGCAAGAGTAAACTCGTATGGGAAGAAGAAGCTATCAAAAATGAAGCATTCTTGCAAGTTCGACGAAATATTATTCGGTATTAAAAAAGTACTGATCGGGAAAAGAACACGATATTCTAATGCATATTTATGAAGGGTTGACGTTTATGCTTGATCTGCGCATGTGCGCGGGAAAAGTATCGCGAGAATCATCGGTCGAAGAAACTATTTCTGTGACGTCGGAATAAATTTATATTTACATGTTCAGTAAGGAACCAACGTGACTGACAAATTGACCAATCAGCTCAATGAGTTGCATATAATGCATTTATGGGTTACTACATAAAATACTACATGTGTTTTTCAAAAAAGGCTATTTTTTTTTAAATCGCTCTCGGAAAGACGTGATGCATTTTTCCATGCATTTTACACGCTTAATGCATTATGTACATTATTATCTACTAATCCCCTGCTCACATTTACATACAAATGATGAACAATGATAAAAATTAGAGTTTTTCCCACTCCATTGAACAATTCCGTTTGTTTACAGTTTCCCCATGCTGTACTGTCAGTGAAAAGTCAATTTCACGTGACTATTCCTCGGTACAAAAAGCAACCAACTCTGAGGTGTGCTCACGTATTGACAATGTTAACAACGTATACAACTTCGAAACATACAGTATGCTACTCAATACACGTTCTACGATCAATGCACATGAAAATTAATATAGAGGTAATTTAAAAAAAAACATGCAACTTAAAGTCTTTTTATTATATAAATGCATGAACTTTAAATTTCTAGCAACAAATAACTGAGCAACAACTAATTCAACCAGTTACATGGCAAATTTACGAATATCGAGTTTAAAAAATTGAGTTTTATTTACGTGTGGATACTTTGTGAGCGGTATTTCAAAGTACTTTTAACAAGGAAAACTGAATTTGTTTGTTAATGTGAGCACGAGAATTCTTAATTAGTACCAATTCTTCGTATATTTCTCAAACACGTTTCAAAAAATTGTAAATTGGCTTTCCAGCAGTCATTTGAAATTGCATCCTAAATTTCCCTAACCCACGTGTTTGTAGTCAAAAAAACATGTACATGTAGTAGACCATCATGTTTTTCGGCTCATTCACGAGATTGGACCATTGTTTGCTTGAGCATGCGAGATCACATGATCATGAATATTTCAATAAGAGGCGGTTGAACATCCGACTCGGAGAGAAAATAATTTTCTCCAAATAATATTTCATAACTTTTTAAAGTGATGGAGTGGAATTGTCTTATTTGCAGAAAGTACATAACTTATATAACTTAAGGAAGGTCCATACTTTTACGGATCCGGTTTTAATTTTACACATCAATAAAAAATTCTTATCATCACTTTTTTATTGAGATAAAATCTTTTTGAATGATTGAAAATAATTTGGCAAGTATATATTTGTTTGTTTTAGTGTCATTGTGTATATAAAGCATTTGATATACATTATTTATGGCAATTAACACTTTGCACTCTGTCAAAAGGATCTATATAAATCATTAGGTATATACTCAGACAGAAATTTCTTAATTTATTTTATGGACCTAAAACTTTTTGAATTTTCAACAACTTAACTTGAGATCCATTTTTATTAATTTCTAATCCTTTATCATCTGTTTTAATTTTACTTTTTCTTTTGCATTTTACAAAGAATGATTGAAAAAAAAAATATATTTCAAAAATGGGGGAATACATGTTCAAAAGACTGTTTTGTTAAATTTAACTGGACAACCATAATAAAATATGTGTTTTTGTTAACTTTAGATATAATTCTTAATAGTTTTAAAGAAAAAATGGCATCTAAACAATTTAGATTTTCAGATTTCTAAAAAATGAAGATATTTTGAGATTTTTTTTTCTGAAAGACATGGACAGATTCAACATCAATTTGTTAATTTTTCCAATAAATATTTCAAAAAATCTCTTGGCAAATGAATATTTTTGATTTTCATGAGGTTTAACATAAATTTGATGTGATTTGGTACAAACCTAAATAAAATATAATATCACACGTCTTTATGTTCAATTTTGGCTGTTGCATTTTTAGAGGTATGTGCTCTGAGACATGGTATATGAATATTAACCTGCAGAGATAAGTTTTTTATGGGTGTTTTAGTTAGTTTAAGACTTATTCAAGGTATTCAAATGAAAAAATTATCAGTGTGACAGAAAATTTTGAAAGTACGTACCTACCTTAATGAGACACCACATATATTAATTTCTTCAAAAAGATAAACACTAATACGGCATATATATCTTTAAAATAATTATATTTTTTAAATATTCAATATACATGTGCACATGTAAAATAGTTAAAATAGTTATTAAAAATATTTAATATTGTTTTGTATAGTGTGGTGTATCTTCAATTGATTTTACAGTACATGTATCTTTATTAAGCTTATTATTTAAACAATATACATACCTTAATTTGATAGCATTACAGATATATGAAGGGAATGAGAAGGGATTAAAATAAATATGTCTACAAGCTTTTGAACATAATTCAATATCAAAGAGAAAAAAGAGGAAAGGGTAGTGTCTTCCTGCGCTATAACAAAATGAACAAGCTTTTTTTTCCTGATTTGTAGAGAAAATGGCATTTCCACTGGATCTTTCTTCTTGTTATTGTACTCGCGAGGAAATTCGGAAGTTTGCGGAACAGTGCAAGGCCTTAGGTGTCCAATATGTTGGATTGTGTTGTAGGAACGCCCCCACTTTCTCCGGGACCTTGAAAGTGTTTTTTTTTTAAAGGAAGAGAAGATGTTACTGAACAGTTTGCTTTTTTCTGCTACATGTATGTAACAAAACATGATAAGAAATAACATTTGGGGTATATATCTTTACTGAATCAATAGACCTGGTAACTTACTTATTTTTCAGGCTATCGAGCAGTTCTTCCCTGTTAATCACTCTGGCTTTGTTTGTGAAAATTTATCATCTTGGTGCAAATATTCCAAATCTAGAATCTATCAATACTAATATATTAACATGTACTGTGATGCTTCTGAATGAAAATTTTAAACTTTATACATGTATCTTCCAATACACGTATCATTTCATTTCTTATCTGACTAAATACTTAGAGAATTCAAATGAATTTTCTACGTAAACAAAATCGTTTATATCAATAATTAAAAACAAATTTACACACTGATCATTGTGAACAAAATATACCTTGCAAAGAATTTTACACTGCCCATCATTTGCTCCATCCAAAATATCGCTATTCTGGGTCTGAAAGGCCTATTAAAGTGGAGTGGTTTTTAATCTAAATATCAATTGGATTAATGTATACCATCACTTTAAGGAATTTAAATATATTCATATATATACCTGTTTTCTGATTGTTTTCATAACAGAAGTGTTATTAACTTTTTAACCAGTCAATATAATAAGAACGATTGTAATAACTACTAGATTATTAAGAAAAACTCATAATGCAATTATTGGGAATAGAAAGGAGTTTACCTATTTACCTGATAGGGCACGATGATAGGGTGAGCCGTACCATGTCTTGTTGCCTCCAGGCTAGCATTTAAATAATTCGCTCCAATGTTGATCAGAGAAGCAACCTAAAATAAGAAAAGATTACGTACAACAGTTATTTTATCTATAAACGCTAGTACATGTACAGGTGATGTATATGCCTAATTAAAACAAAACAAAGTCATATCGTAAAGATGAGATATCTGTTTGAAAAATAGACAAAAAATTCAAGTACAGTGTAAGGAAAGAATCTCATTATCTGCGGAATTTCCCGTTTACCAAAGCATGGAAAGAAGCACACAGCTGGTGTGACCGACCGACAGGGGATGCTGACTTCTCCATGGTACGTGATTCCACTTGTGATGATTTTTAAAAGAGGTCCTTTTCTGCTCACTCAAAATGTGCATGGTTTCAATCGACTTTTGAGCTTGATTACTGATTGCATGGTCTTAACTTTTAAATTATCTGTACATAAATTTTATATGTAAAAAATACGAATTGCAGTTTTTCATTAGGTCTTGTCTTAGTACTGTACACTATTTCATATGGCTATGAAGGTTATTTATACAACAAAGTTTTACTTGAAAAGAAAACAATTGTATTTTTACTTAAACTCGACATTCAAATATATTGAAGACGTTTTAACAAAGAACACTTGTTATTTCGATTCGTATTACGAGTGAACTCAAAACAAAGGAAACCAAGAGTTCACGTCTTTGCTAGCCAAAAGTTTCTCATCGGCTGTGAGGAGAGGAACGGATTACAAACTTTTAGTTAGCAATGAAGTAAAAAAAATCAGCATGCCTAACTGACCATACATGATCAAAGCTAACTACCAATTAAATTGTATGACAGGCGATTCTCTTTTTCAATCGTCAACATTCTCTTTTACATAGTTATATTTGAATTCGGTTTTCACCAACTTGTGTCTCACAACTTACTGTCTACTCAAGAACATGCGCTGAGCACGATCAATGTTTAAAACCAGAAAGGTTACTGATAGATAAGTTTATATAAAAAGGATGTTAAATTCGTTTGTTTACTTGTTTAACATCTTTTCCGAAAATTTTTCACTCATACTAATGACGTCACCATTGACCGCAGTAAATCTTAGCCCGCCTAAGAGCACTGAGGGATCTTTTTCGTACCAGCACCTACTGCGACCAGCAGGACTTCGTTTTTTCTCGGTCTCACCCGAATGACCGGTCTCCACGTCCCAGTGGGATTCGAACGCGTGACGTAAAGATTAACTCCTTACGCGACCGTAGAACAAACGCTTTAACCAATGCGATATGCAGGCGACGTATCTATGTTGTATGGAGTTTTAGTACAACTCTCTGTTAACAATGAATTTTCAGTAACGTGTGGCATTCTGAACGCTACGTAATTAGTGTGAAACATAGAGAGATAACGAACGGTATTCAAGATCAAAAGTCCATAAAACAATTCAAAATAGGAACAGAGCAAACACGGAACTCTAAAACATCAGAGGTGGGATCAGGTGCCATGGAGGGTTGAGCATCCCTTGCCGACAGGTCACACCCGCCATTTGCTCCTTGTCATAACCAGGAAATAAGGAAAAAAATCCGTCATCAATTCAGTGTATAAATAATGGACTAACAATAAGTATGAAAAACGTCAGCCAGCATTTGACTCTATGATAAATTGTATTTGTTGACAAGGTCATTGTATCGACCATAGAACTTACGAAATGACGACTTTAAATGAAACTGCTGATATTCTTGTTTCATCATCTTGTTAGCCAATAATTTACCTCATTTTAGAAATTGTTCATACGTAGAGCATGTTCTTGCCTATCGAATCAACTGAGATAAATAAACTCCGTCTGTCAAATGGCAAATATATTCTAATTTGTTAAGAAATTAATAATATCAGGAACTTTAAATTGTTGTTGACAACGATAAGACGGAGTAAGGGGACCGACTGGGTTTTTTTGTGTGTGTGAAAACTACAAAAGAGAAACTCTTTATTTTTATACCATATACATGTATAACTTACACTGACTTCAGTGTACATGCCAAGTTTGGGGAAAATCTACCGCCCAGGTATTTTTAAGGGACCGTCTGCCTCTAAAAATACAGGTACATTTACTATAGGATGATATGGGAAAGTGCCAATTTTTTATACTTTAAAGCAAATCATACAAATACTACAATAGTCTTTTTACTCAAACTATAATATATGATGAGTAATACTATATTGTACATTATATGTAAGAACCACACAATTCTACCACCTTGTTTCCAGAGGGTGCATCTCAAAATGCCATAAAATAACGGATTTCCTTGTTTTTTTTAGAGTACTTCAAAATATGATGCATGCAAAGGATTTATACAAAGAATAAAAAATATAAACGTCAAAAACACACGGTTACGACATCAATCTACCTATCAGTTAAAAAATCGCTTTAAAAATCAGTTATTTAAAATTGATAGGTCTACGGGTCTACAGGTCGACAGGTATGAAATGGGATGATGTAGAGATATGTAAAGTTAGCTACTAGTAACTGGCTACTAGTAGCTGGCTACGACAAGTGGTAAAGTTAGCTACTAGTAGCTGGCTACGAGAAGTAAGTAAAGTTGGCTACTAGTAACTGGCTACTAGTAGCTGGCTACGACAAGTGGTAAAGTTAGCTACTAGTAGCTGGCTACGAGAAGTAAGTAAAGTTGGCTACTAGTAACTGGCTACTAGTAGCTGGCTACGACAAATGGTACAGTTAACTACTAGTAGCTGGTTACGATAAGTAAGTACAGTTGGCTATTAGTAACTGCATGGCTACCAGTAACTGACTTGAACATTTTAGTACCTTTTGTATTAAATTATGCTAATTTGGGAGAAATTATCTGGCACTAAAGTTACCAAGATATCGTTATTAATAAACTCAGCTACTAGTACCTTTTGTTTAAAATTTTGCAATTTTGGGAGATAAATGTTGTTATTATACAAGTAACTGGATTTTTACACCGCTGATATCCACTGATATTGTTGATAAAAACAATCTCTGAGCTTTTCCACCTGATCTGGCACTAAAGTTAACAAGATATCGTTAGTAATAAACTCAGCTACTAGTACCTTTTGTTTAAAATTATGCAATTTTGGGAGACAAATGTTGATATTATAGAGGAAGCTGCATTTTGATACCTCTGATATCCACTGATATTGTTAATAAAAACAATTTCTAAGATTTTCCACATGATCTGGCACTAAAGTTACCAAGATATCGTTATTAATAAACTCGGCTACTAGTACCTTTTGTTTAAAATTATGCAATTTTTGGTGACAAATCTTGATATTCCGGAAGTAGCTGGATATTTAAACCGCAGATATCAACTGATATTGTTGATTAAAATAATCTCTAAGATTTTCCACATGATCTGTCAGTAAAGTTACTAAGATATCGTTAGTAATAAAATCAGCTACTAGTACCTTTTGTTTAAAATTATGCAATTTTGGGAGACAAATGTTGATATTATAGAAGAAGCTGCATTTTGACACCGCTGATATCCACTGATATTGTTGTTGATGCAATTTTGGGAGACAAATGTTGATATTATAGAGGTAGCTGCATTTTGACACCTCTGATATCCACTGATATTGTTGATAAAACAATTTCTGAGCTTTTCCACATGATCTGGCACTAAAGTAACCAAGATATCGTTATTAATAAACTCAGCTACTAGTACCTTTTTTTAAATTTATGCAAATTTTGGAGACAAAAGTTGATATTCCAGAGGTAGCTGGATATTTACACCGCTGAGATCAACTGATATTGTTGATAAAAATAATCTCTGAATTTTTCCACATGATCTGGCACTAAAGTAACCAAGATATCGTTATTAATAAACTCAGCTACTAGTACCTTTTGTTTAAAATAATGCAATTTTGGGAGACAAATCTTGATATTCCGGAAGTAGCTGGATATTTAAACCGCAGATATCAACTGATATTGTTGATAAAAATAATCTCTAAGATTTTCCACATGATCTGTCAGTAAAGTTACTAAGATATCGTTAGTAATAAAATCAGCTACTAGTACCTTTTGTTTAAAATTATGCAATTTTGTGAGACAAATGTTGATATTCCAGAAGTAGGTGGATATTTACACCGCTGATAGCAACTGATATTGTTGATAAAAACAATCTCTGAGCTTTTCCACATGATCTGGCACTAAAGTCACCAAGATATCGTTATCAATAAACTCAGCTACTAGTACCTTTTTTTTAAAATTATGCAATTTTGGGAGACAAATGTTGATATTATAGAAGTAGCTCCATTTTGACACCTCTGATATCCACTGATATTGTTGATGAAAACAATCTCTGAACTTTTTCACATGATCTGGCACAAAAGTTACCAAGATATCGTTATTAATAAACTCAGCTACCAGTACCTTTTGTTTAAAATGATGCAATTTTGGGAGACAAATCTTGATATTCCGGAAGTAGCTGGATATTTAAACCGCAGATATCAAC